GGGTTGAGAGCGCGTCTGTTTAACAGACTGCTGACAGGGCGTTGAGTTGTGTTCTGGCAACCGCGAAGCCCCCCAGGCTGAAGATTCATGAGAGGTGGCGCCGCAGTGTTGCCAAGCATGCGTTATGAGCCACCGCCAGGCTGCCGCGCCGTAATAGCTTCCATATTAGCGCGTTCCTCGAATTCATCCAGGAAATTTAATTTTCACCTCGCTCAAGTTTCGTCAGAATGATGGAAATAGGACGTGAGGAATGTCGGGTGTAATTCGGCGCATTGTGCTGTGTAGTGTCAAGAAATGTCGGTCGCTTAAATGCATTTTTTCATCAAATTTCGTGCAACGCTCGTTCTATTTCTGAAAGCGCTCTGTAGACACTTCATTATCAAAGCCTCGTTCTCTACGAGGACGTGTAAAGAGAATTATAATAGTGATGATTATAATTAAAAATTCGAGTTATTTAAACCAATAACATTCAACAATGCCAAACGCGAGAACCAACTATTGATGCAATGCTCACTGAAAAATTGCTCCTTTTCTTTAATTGTTTTTATTATCTCGTTGCTGAATAGTCATAACATTTTGTTGTTACTGTTCATTTATTCATTAGATGACGTGTTTTATTTCTTCACACAAATCCAATTGAATGTATAATCTTACGGATCAATCCTAGTATGCAGTAGAAGTTATTACAAGTAGGTTAAACATTTACTTATTGGTATTTAACTACATTTCTGCGTAAATTTTATTATTTCGTCCTAACATAGGATTACATTAGCATCATGGCCTCGAGGATCCGAATTTGCCAGACAAATTCACTCCACTCTTAGAATGTTTTTCAGGCCGAAGTTTGTTGCTTCTGCAGGCCACTAGTACACCGATGATGCGTGTAGGCCGATGATGCAAGCTGATGTGTGAGTGTGGCAGGAATTTTGCTGCTGCAGGCCACTAGTAAACCGATGATCCAAGCTGATGAATGTGGCAGCATTTTTTCTCCTCCCGGCAACTAGTAAACCGATGATCAAAGCTGATGTGTGCGCGTCAGCATTTTGGCTTCTTCAGGCCACTAGTAAACCGATGATCTAAACGTATGTGTATAGAAGCAATTTTGCTAACCGATGATTGAAACTGATGTGTATGTGGCAGCATTTTGGTGGTCCAGGCCACAAGTAAATGAATGGTTCAAGCTGATATGTGCGGCAGCACTTTGCAGGCCACTAGTAAACGCTCCAAGTTCATGAGTGCGCGTGTGTGTGCCGGCGCTTTTGCCTTTGCAGGCCACTAGTAAACGCTCCAAGTTTATGTGCGCGCGCGCGTGTGTGTGTGGCAGCACTTTCGCCGCTTTAGGCCACTAGCAACGCGGCGTGCGCGCGTGCGTGCGCGCGTGTTTCAGCGGCGGCGCTGCTGGCGCTGTCGGCGGTGCGCGGCTACCACGGGTACGCGCTGCTGGCGTGGCTGTACGGCGGCTGCCTGGGCGGCTTCCTCTACTCGCTCAAGATGCTGGCGCTGGAGCGCGTGCGGCCGCGCCACTTCTCGCGCGCGTGGGCGTTGGTGCAGGCCGGCCAGGCGCTGCCCGTGCTGCTCGGCGCGCCGCTCGCAGGTACGCGCACGCGCCATGCATGCACGACATCTCAATATAATGATTCATGATACCTGAATATGCACCGAAGATCAAGATCGCTTTGATTGCAAAGAAGTTTTTTTTTTAATTTTAATCTTATTTCTACTTTTAAGTACGTAATTAACACCGGATAATAAATTACTGATTTGCTCATCTTTCGAAATTTTTCAGCATTCACATAATGAAAAAAATAGAACAAGTGCAAATCTAATCTGCGATTTTGTAATCAAAAAATTACTTGTATCCGTAAGTTTAAAAATAGTAGAAGTGATCGCGATTATTTGACTTATGATCATTTTGTATGCTCTATATTATAGAAAAATATAAGTGGTCAATAAAACAAATAATAAAATTTCCTCGCAAAGGAGTCGATGCAAGAAAAAAGGGTGGGGACCCCCAATCTAGAACAATCCCAGAACTGTATGCAAGTTTAAGAATGTTTCATCACAACTCAAAAGATTAATTGCGCCAGAGAAAGAAGAATAAATCTAACTCCAAGAGTTTCAATAAAGCGAATAACATCGAGCAGAAATTTCAATTCACTTCAATGTTGCCTTATTTTTCGTGACGATGCTCAGGCCATGAGGTCTGTTCTTCCGCCTGACCACGAGAATTCTGCTACGCTCCTATCACGTCTCGTAGACAAAAGGGGTATCATTTGCGCAATGAAACAGGCGTTTTGGAATTTTGCTCAGAGGCGTCATTTAGGCTTGAGGATCTTTTACATGCTGTATATGTACCAACATGGGACAGCCAGCTTTACTTCCCCTCCGAAGGCGTACGAAGGATTTTTTGCCCTTGAAAAGTGACGGCATCGATCAGGTTTGAACCCACGAACTCGGGTGTAACAGTCCGATACGCTGTTACACCACGGAACCCGCTCATCATTTCAAGTAGTAGCTCCATCCGCTGAGTCGTGTGCGCCAAATGCGACGCACCTGCGAGCTGCAGTTGAGGCCGCAGATGCGCAATCATCGCGTGATGCAGCTGGCAGTCCCCGTGAATGTTGTACGCGCCGGGCGCAGGGCATCCGCGGCCTCTGATTGGCTGCGGCGCCTCAATGATTCCGAGGCGACGGCGCCCGCCCTCATTTCCCTGGAGGAGGCTGCGGTCGGGCGCGTCGCGCGCTCGGGCGGCCAGGAGGCGAAACAGCCGAGTCCCGCGCGGACGGGGACGCAATTCACGGGTCAATGAAAGAAGGGGTCAAGCGCGCGGAGGGACTCACGTGGCAAGGAGGAAACGAGATGGCATCTATACGTTCCGTCTTGGAGAAGATTTCCACAATTTATTACGAGTCGTAGTCGTTTAGATCGTAGTTTCTGTTAATCGAAAAGAGAATGGTTTTTAATTAAATGAAAACTATGTTCTATTAATTTGACATACTCAGTGAACAGAATTATTAAATGTTAGTACTTTTATTTACTTAGATTCTACTCCACTTAATTTAATACCCCCCGTCTGTCCTCACCCCCTTTCCTACCTCTCTATCTCTCCGCCCTAACTCCCTTTTCCTCATCTACGCTCTGCCCTAATCTCGTCACCTACCTCACCACCTCTCCGTCCTCAACCCCCTCTTCGTCACACCTTCTCCCCCAACACCTCACTGAGTTCTGAATGTTTTTCGTAATTCAGTTCTCTGAATGTGTGGACCTTTGACCTTTGTCAGGACAAAGGGCTCGGACTGTCGCCCCTGCAACCCGACGAGCAGATAACAGTACTTTAAGCGCTATGCGTGGCTTTCCACAATTAACTTCGGCCGCGAGTATCACGAAATCTGAATTTGTAGCACACTATTTTCTGATAGTGGCCGGGTAGTGTACTAAATTTTCTTCTTTAAGGACAAAAGAAATGCTTCATAATACTTAAGGGTGCAAGACAGGAATGTTTCGCGCGAAAACGCGCATGAATCAATGCAGACTCGACGCGTTATTATGTGTAGCTTTGAGTCACTCTTAAATTCGACGGATGGATGGAAGTGTGTGTCATTCGTAACTCTTGTCAGAATAGACGATTTTTAAGTTGAAATCTGATAATACATCAGGAGTAACATCGGTTTGTGCCGATCAGAGTATCATTAAGATATTTTAACGTTTTATGAGAACTTTGCATAATACATACAAGCCCTATAATTTTGAGAATGTCCAAAGTCAAAATTTATTTTCGACCAACACTCCCATTATTGAATTCAGAGATTTAGTTCTCAATGCAACATGACCATCATTTTTTTTATTTGGTTTATGTCATGGACTTTAAAAAAGATGAGTTGTTGTTCAGAAAATAAATGTTTAACGTTATAACACGTTCAGAAAATAAATGTGCATGGTAAGCCGCGAATTCCCAATACTTTTTATTTATTTCTAGCTCTTATAATTCATGTATAATTCTGATGTTATTTGAAGGCATATGGGGGTGTAATTCCAGGAGACAGCTTCTGAGAAATTATTCCTGAGAAATTCTCCCAAAGAATCGGCAGTTTAATAGGGATAAATACACCTCGTCCGAAAACACTTATAAGATTTTTTTCCGACAGCAAACTCAACTTCAAATCTGTACTCAGAGATCCAAAAATCTATCCCACGTCTTCGACCACAATGAAATTGGGGCTCCCAGATTGTGTAATCTAGGTAATCTATCGAAAGGTGATTAATCTATCGAAAGTCACAATATTTCACATTCGTATGTTGCAAATGGTGGTATATTTAATTAAACTTTCTTGAAAGACCACTCTCGCATAAGTTACTGTCATTGTGACGCTCGTACCGGCCCTGTTCCTCCCCACCCCTTTGACATTAAGATATTCGCCTGTTTGCCGTGAATCAAACCTCCCCTGCCTTTACAGCTCCTTGAGACGTTTCCGCGCGGCCTGGAACAGGCTCCCGTCGCAGGGGCCGTTCTCTCCGATTAGATCCAGGAGTAAATCCACTCGACCGACCCTTGGGTGTGTCATTACGGCGATGTAAATCAACTTACCCCCGCCGCGTTATATTACTCTGTCCCAGTTTGCCCCCCCCTTCCACCCTCCTAGTCTGGCGGTGGGGCTATAGGGCGGCGGAGGGGCTGGGAGGAGGAAGGCTGCGGGTGGTGCCGAGGGTTTGGGCGGGCAAGTTGGTGGCCGGGGGGGGGGGTGAAACAGATTGGATGAAATGGAGAGTAGATCTTCATAGAGAGCTCTGCCAAGCAGCGTAACCTCGACCTGTGAGGGTGGATGGGGTGCAGTTTGGGAATGGGTCCGCCATTGACCCGAAAGTGCCCTCCGTGCCGTCGGGAGCGCTGGCGACGAGAAGGGACCGAGGTATGGAGATGCAGGCGGCAGTAGAGCGACTTCGGTTGCTGTTGATAGACGTGTCTAAGGTACTCGCTGCTGGGAGTGGTGGAACGCACTGTTGCCTCGCCCTCTTGCAATCACGTGAGTTGCGAACGCCTAGATCACACCCAGACACATAACACGCTCGTGATCGCTCAGTTGCGACTAACGGATTGCAGCACGTGATGGCGTTTAGTTTCCAACCATGTCGTAAGACAAGAAACATTCAATCACATTGACCGGTTTAGAGGGATCAAGGCATCAGTTCAACAGTGCCTCTGACCGGGAGCTTCTAGCGTTTCAACCCCGACAGTGGCAAGATTTTCGACACTAGCTACATATATAAATCGAGTTCTGTCGCTGTCTGGAGGAGAATTCTAGCTGCCGGCTGCACTGTTCGCACGTTTTCCGTGGTTCTTCCAAAAAGAACACTAGGCGAATGCCGGAGCAGTACTCCAACACACGGTCCACGGTTCTCGCGCAATCTTTCCTTCCTCTTCATCATCCTATCTTCACCCCTTATTTATATTCCCTTACACGAACATGCATTACACTCGCACACATGTCGGGAGACCAGCCGGGGGCTTAGAGCTTAGAGCCCGGCTGAGGCGTTGCCACCTGGTTGAGGGAAGGAGATACCAAGTTGAGGAAAGTCCTTGCAAACGACGTAGGAAAACATGCATTACACGTACGGGACTATTGACCTTAGCAGTTGACGCGCCTGGAATCACTACAATCAATCAAACAAATAAAGGCTCGGAGACAGAGACAACGACGACAGGCAGGGTCTAGTTGCTGCTGAGGCAGAAGGAATAAACGTGCGCACAGATGAACTGAAAATATTGAAAGGGGGCTGCGTGACCTTACGTTAATGAAACGTTTTATTTACGTAAACACAAACAATTCCTTATTTTCCCCACTTTTAAATTCACAATTTGAGACATTTTTTGTACATTTGGGAAGAGGCACTCCAAGCCTACAGTCAACCCTACAAAGTGGTTCTACATAAAATTAATTGTATATATTAATTGAATTACTTAAGTCATATTCCGTTCTCTTTGTAGTATGTTTTCTATTTTTTACAAGTAAAATATTTCACTTTTATGTACCACAAATACAATGCAGATGTGGCCTCAGAAATTATATTGCTTCCTCTTATCAACTGCAAACTTCTTTTCAATTCAATAAACACCTGTACTATAATGAATCTGTGTCATAATGACTATTATTCTGCAACGTCCTGCAGCCATCTAATTGGACAGTTATTCAATGGAAGTAAAAATGTATTTCCGCTGCTATAAATAATTGAAAAAATGAATAAATGTAATGAATATTTTAAATCACTATCCATTGTTCTTCCCACGTTTTATTTAACAATTATTTCAGTATTTGTAGTTAAATTATCAACACACTTTTCGGAAACTGCTATTTTTCGGAACATTACTTTTCCTTTATAATTTCTTACGAACTCATTAATTTAAAACTTTATGGTACAATTAATATAAAATGTTATGCAGTAAAATCTCAATGGTTACTTAAAACGCAAAGAAAGTTCTAGCAACACTAACTAAACTGCCTGGAAATTGACGCCACGGAATTGGCAAGACCCAAAAAGTTTGAATAAAAAGGCACAAAGAGTTTATATTGTTTTTCAGCGTCTTTATTTCCAAAGTGATTTTTACCACACTTTACATAAACTGATTTCATCTCGAAAGCAACATTTTACGTTGTTGTTTTTTTCAATTTAATTACAATAACATACAATTTTTAAAATTGTATGTTGTTTTTTATTAATATTTGCTTCATTTTGCAGTAAAATCTTATAAATTTATTATGTTTCATTATTTGCTTTGAAAACTGAAATTTACTTCACTCAGAGCGCAACCTTCTGCAGGCACAAAGGTAATTGAAGAAACGACTGAAGACATATTCTGCAAGAACGGAGAAAGCCAGAAATTCGTCTGTGTCTCCAGGGGTTAGGGCAGAAAAAAATTGTCGCTACGAGGCGTAAAATTAGAAGCGCCTAAGAAGGGAGAGAACGACTTGGGTTTGATTAGCGAAGCTCCTTTGGGTATTGAGCACGTACTCGTACAATAGACTAGCAGATTACTTTTCAGGTAGAGCTTTTCTATATTTTTTTCAAAAACTCTTTGATTTTTTTAGACATACTTCTGTTTATGAGTTGATACATTTTTAGAGTACGACCTGCAACATGATCGAAGTTGTAACGTAGTTTTGCAGTTGTCTGAGTAAATAAATACGCATTTCAACATGCGTATTGACATACCAAGTCAGCTGAATATGATTTTTAAGTAAAATATTAAATCTATTTAGATTTTTGTTTAATTCATGTTGAAGTTAAATAAATTATTTTGAGTTCGCTAAAAATGTGTCATTTATGAGACTTGTTAAAATAGGAAATGGTGGGTTGCTGCTTCCAGAAAGATTTTTTCATGAAAAAGGTTTAACATTATAAACTAGTTCCATAACAAACGAGTACTTATAACAATTTCTTGTGTTTAGTCATTATATGTCCCTTAAAGGGCAATTGCCCACGAGACCATTAGATCCCGGTGTTTCTAGTCGGTAACTCAACCAGGATGTGATTCCTGGTTCTCCATTGTCTACGAAAACTGTAAGTGCATGTATATCATCAACGTATATACGTTGTAAGGATAAATAACGAAAGATTAGTAAAGACAAAATACGTTGTGTTCGACAAATTGTTTTTTTTAATTA